CATATATTGGGAAAAAAAAAACATTCACATGCACTTCTTAGCGGGCCGGTGAGGGTTTGGTGTGTGGCGAAGCAAGATATGGATCCAAGTGTAACAGGAATAATACGCTTGACTATTCGTTAGCAAAAAAATAAAATTCATGCGCACTTCTTAGCTGCCGTAGTGCGCGTTTTGAGTGTGGTGAAGCATGGTGTGGGCCTAGTTTTTGTTTTTGTTGGGCCTAAGTTTTTGTTTTTGGCAGTTGGTTTGGGCCTACAATTTTTTATTTTTTCTTTTCTTTTCTTTTTTTTTTGCGGGCATTGCCCGCACCGCCCGCACCACGGGTGCTTAGCTAGTATATATATATGGGGTTGTTGGGATTTTCAAGCCCTACAACCCCTTTTTTTTTTTTTTGGAAACTGATCATGTTTTTGAATTATTAAAAAAAAAGAACCGAAAAGGTGGAGAAGAGAAATAAAAAAATATTTTTTTTTTATTTTTTTTTACGGATGTGTGTGTATGTGTGTGTGTGTGTGTGCTTGTGTGTGTGTGTGTGTGTGTGTGTGTGTGTGTGTGTGTGAGTGTGTGTGTGTGTGTGGGCGTGTGTGTGTGTGTGTGTGTTATGTTTTTATTGCGAGGCTCCTGTGACTACGTCACAGCATGTTGCGTCATGACTCGTGCTTCTATGAACAACACCCAAACAGCATCGCACCACATCAGGGAGGCTAAAAAAGTAATGATGGTGGATGGTACAAGAAAGAGAAAAGGCAGAGTATGTCCCGTAGCCATACTGCAGAATGTTCGAGACATGGGAATACACAAAACCGCCCTGGTATAGATGGTTATCCATGCAGACAAGGGACATTCACGAACATAAGCCATAGTGACAAGCAGGCCCCGGTGAGGGGGGGGAAGTTTTTGTCATTAAGGGGGGCAGAACGCAGCAGAAGCAATCGGACTGGACAAGCTAACACTAGAATCAGCACAAGGTTCAGACAAACACTCAATATAAGTCAATTAACACATTCTTTATTGATCAAATTTGATCGACAAGGCAGGAGTAGTCCTCGACGAAGGGAATACCATTCACCCCGGAGAAAGCAACAGCGTGGCAGCTCAACCAAACACAATCAAATCTTATCTTCAGGCGGCATCAAAAGGCCGATCAACCACGCGAAATGCAAAACAACACCTCCAATATTAACAAAATGCAAGGGGCTATGACGTCATCATTCGCTTGTAGATGTGTGATCAAGGGAGCCTCCAGAAGACAACGTCACGTTGTCATGGCAAGATCACCTCAAACATCTTTGCACATCGTCACAACTACACCCCTCCAAAGACGCGTATAAGCACAGACACTACACCGAGCGGGGGCAGCGTGCCCCCACCCATGTCATTCACACGAGGGACTCAGAGTCGAATCCTAGTGGAGCCAACCAACCCCTCCACGCCGCCATACCAGRAGTATACTCCATATCCCTTAGTAGGGCGGAGCCCCTCCACCGCGTCCTTGATGTACACTTGATCCGACACCCAAYGAGGCAACATAGCATCACAGATTCACCAATCCTCATGCGACACGTACAGATAACCATCACCCTTAATGAAAGAATCATCAGCTGCGCTCCCTTACTCTGAAAAG